ACAAGGCTGAGAGGGGACCTGGTGGCCGTCTATAAACTCACCAGGGGGTACCTGCGGAAAATAGATGAGACTCTGTTCCCCCAGGCACCACCTGGGATAGTAAGGAATATCTGCCACAAATGGATTGAGAGCAGGTACAGGCTTGATATCAGGAGGTATTACTTTATGGTTAGGGCTGCCGGGCTCTGGAATGGGCTCCCAAGGGAGGTGGGGCTCTCCCCTACCTTGCGGGTCTTCAAGAGGAGGTTGGATAGATATCTGGCTGGGGTATTATGATCCCAGCACTCGTTCCTGCCCAGGGCAGGGGGTCGGACTTGATGATCTGTTCAGGTCCCTTCCAACCCTAGAAACTATGAAACTAACTATGAAACTATGCCTAAAATATCAAAAACACCCTAACCTGCCACAGGTGAAGCTCGAGGACAAAGGTACTGTCAGTGTCCTGCTGCTGTAAGGGCAGGAATGTGTGTTCAGATACATTTAAGAGATCCAAAGAAGAGGGCCATACCCCTCCCTCCGTGCTACAGAAGACTGAAACCTCACTCAAATCCATGCCAGTCAGACCATGGGGTAAAATGGGGTAGAATTCCTTTTGATCCCAAATGATCACATCAACAGAAGAGCTAGTGGCACAGGACCGGCATTCAGACCAGCTAACGGGGGAGTTCAAGTAGGGAGTTCACTGAGAAGTTTGCCCAGCCACTTCCTTTCTCTATAAACTTGCTGAATGGAAGCAGGTAAGAGAAATAGGGACATTTTTTCTTTAAGATATATAGCACAGGGGTGGCCAACCCATGGCTCCAGAGCCACATGCAGCTCTTCAGAAGATAATATGCGTCTCCTTGAATCTTTGCACAAGCACACAGTGACCAGCTTCCATAGCCATTACGTCACGGCACGTGACGCGACTACTCGCAGCAAGCACATTATTCAGTTTAAACTCATAAGTTTGAACTCCGGAGCCAGCAGTTGGCCACCCCTGATATAGCAGCAGAAGAGGAAGAAGGAGCTAGCAGGAAAATCAACAGGACAGCTAGAAACATTGAAATGCCAGGCCTCTGCCTCTGCCACTGCCAGGCCTTCCTCTTCCTGTACCTGTGCACACTGTGTTCAGGCATGACCCCCGACCACTGAGGCTTCCATTTGGGTTCTGGCCTAGTTTTACAGTGCCAGGACCAGCCAGGTGGGGGATGTGAGAGGTGCCTCCTGGTGGGTTCTCTTAGCAGTCAGGTAAAGGAGCTGTGGAAGGAAGTGGATAGGCTCCAAAATATCTGCAACCATGCGGCCTTCATCTACTCAATGCATAAAGAAGCATCCAACATCATGAGAGAGGGACAGCTAAAGAAAGCACTGGAAGACGCACCTCTGGTTTCTTGATGTCATTTCTAGAAACAGTCAGCACTCCTTTTCTGGACCTGTGTCTATCCAGCTGGAGGTGAGGGAAGCAAAGCAGCAACCATCTGGCTGCAGCCACACTGCAAACAGCTCTGCCAGAAGCTGCATGCTGGTCGAGGCCCAGGCCAGAAGCAGCACGAAATGGGCTGCCCCAGTTGGAACGGGTGGTTCACAGCCCCATGTGAAGTGATGTGGGGGTAGCCGTGGGCTGCATCCAGTTGGTTGGCAGGACAGAACCAGCCCACAGTTGTTAAGTCAAAGGGAGAGCTCTTCTGTTAAGACTGTGATACCCTGCCCCCATGATCCAGTCTGTGGAGAGAGAGGGCTGAAACCACTCCTGTAGGGTCTACAGCTAATGTATCTGGTATGGTTAGTGGTTGCATTTGCAGCTGGTGCAAACAGGAAGTCCTGAAATGCTGAGGCAGATCCTCTCTGAGCTGAAACTTATCAAGATAAATGGCAGCTAGGACGGGCTCATTTGAAAACCAGACAGGAATAGATATGTCCCTTTCAACCATAATTCTGCTAGGGAAGGAGAGAGACAAGACATCGGACAGTTTCTTTCCTCAACTGTGACTTTGCTGAGGAATATTTACCTGAGGCCAACTGCCATTGCGGTCCTATTGATTTCTTTCCCCTGTGACCATAGAGGCAGCCTTCAGCCCTGAGGTACGTGTCTGATATTTTGATAGATTTGCAGATGACTCGGCTGTGCAATTTCAGTTCCTCTCACGTGACAAGAGGATTCACACAGTCCAAATCTTAATTCTGTTGGATGTGCTGCTAATCTGGACTGGAATCTGTTCTCACATCCTTATCTGCCATCTCAATAAGAACTATATTGTCTGGAAGTGAATAAATGTCCCATGCAATAAGATAACTGAGTGCTGCAGAACTTCAGACATCTTAAAGATATGTATTTGGTAGCATGTTAGATGTGTTGATAAGTGCCAGAGGCAAGGACTGACAGTGATGCAGCTGAGGCCTTTCAGGCTCTAGCACCTGCTTGATCCCAGGAGGCTCGCTAATGAAAGGATCACTTATTAGGGCTGCCAGAAAAGGTTAGAGATATCATGGGCCTTATGGCTTAGTCCCTGGCTTGAATTGCATGGAGCATCCACCAAAGAGCAAGGGCTTCTCAAGCCTGGTAGTCCTTTGCTCTGTTAGAGGCAGGTGTGCATCCCTGCAGATATCCTAGCCAAGTCCAGTATGTTTAATATTGGTGACCCTATTGTCCTCCCACACCACTGCAACACCTTCCCAGGCTTCCAACCGGGACTCTGGTTCTGGGGAGTCTATTCTAGCCTGTTACACCTAAACCACTTCCAGATCCCCAGGAAACCCTGCCACCCAACCTGACCCACTCTTGGTCAGCCATGCTGGCCGCACTCATGGATATGCCCATCTCTCGTCAATTTACAAATTTTCAGCAGTTAAGGTTAACAGTTAACAGTTTCTTTGCCTCTGTTTTCTTGAACAGGGACTGGGATATCCCACATGCCAGAGGTAGGGACAATCTTGGGGATAGCTCTATCAAGCCTTCAGTCAGTGCAGATGTAGTTAGGGATCTTCTGGAAGGGCTAGACATTTTTAAATCTGCAGGTCCAGATGCCCTCCACCCAAGGGTGTTTAGGGAGCTGGCAGAGGTCATTGCGGAGCCCTTGACCCGGCTGTATGAGCATTCATGGTCATCTGGCCAGGTGCTGGGGGATTGGAAACTGGCTAATGTGGTCCCTATTTTTAAGAAGGGGAGGAAGGAGGACCCAAGTAACTATAGGCCTGTAAGCCTCACCTTGGTGCTCAGGAAGATCTTGGAGAGAATCATCAAGGAGCACATCTGTGGGGGGCCAGCAGGAGAGATCATGCTCAGGGGCAATCAGCATGGGTTCATCAAAGGCAGGTCCTGCCAGACCAACCTGATTGCCTTTTACGACCAAGTAACTAAATCCTTGGATGATGATGTCACTGTGGACGTAGTCTTTCTAGACTTTAAGAAGGCCTTTGACACTGTCTCTCACCTCATCCTCATCAATAAATTAAGCAACTGCGGCATTGATGCCTGCACAGTTGGATGGGTAAAAAATTGGCTGATGGGGCGCACCCAAAGAGTAGTGGTGGACGGGTTGTACTCAACCTGGCGAGATGTGAGCAGTGGGGTACCCCAGGGCTC